ATGGTGAATCTGTTCTTACTTAATTGTTAACGTCGGATTCTATCCACTTACGTGCAGCCTACAGAGAGCAGGTTGAATAAACACATTTCCAGGCCTCACTCTAAGGTTCGTGACACAAATGCATAGGCGGTATTGGGTGAATGCAACCCCGATTGGAACAGTTCGTTTGCATTATAACCAACTGCTGGGGACAGCCCTAGAATCTAGTCAACTGAGCTACATGTATCCAAAGCATGATATTCGGTCAATAATAGCAAAAATGAAGGAGACATTGATTCATTCCAATTTAAAAAGAAAAACATTATACGCGCGACTATAAATCTTGGCATAATGTTTCATTAACAATCATGTTAATCGATACATCAAATTCCACTATATACGTTACGGTACTATATACGTTTTCATAATTATTAGGTTTATATTGTTAATAAAGCCATGTTTGCACTATAAAATGTTATATGACAAATAATGTATGGGTGTAATATGACATCACCATGCCAATATGGACACATCACACACATTTGTCACAAAAAATTTAGGCCTATAGTATGGACGGAGTTTTATGCTAATAAAAATGAACGACAGACACTGAGACAATAATAAGAAAAATAAGTCCCTACGACTTTTTTAACGATGGAAATTAGAATATTTTTAGATAATTATTCCGTTAAGAATTATTTTAGTTTGCTTTATATTATACCCTAACAATGTGTGCCACGTTTTGCCCACGGTCATCTGATGGAAATCTATCTCCCATATCAAATTTCATATCTGTGTCCAGTACAGAAGAACGATAATCGTATTGCGTTTGTTTTTGTATCTATTTTTATCTTATTAATTGACAAGTAAAACCCAGTTACCTATAAACCTAGTAACCGAGCTGTTAAGCTTAACGCGATGGCTTACAATAGTGAGTGTACATCCCGAACGCGTATAAGGTTACGCACTGCGTCGCTGATAACCAACGATTGAGCAAACAACAAATGTGACGGCAGGTCAACTCGCGCTACGGTCGCTTTAACACGAAACATTTATCAACACTATTGATCACTGCGGATGCATGTCAGTTTAATAATGTGTCTATACGCTAAGAGAAAATAGTTCACCTTGTTGTGTATATCTCTTATATATAACATGTTGTATAGAATTTTACGTTAAAACGGCTACTTAGTTGATAGGCCTATATCATATTTAAATTTATTATTTTATCGTTAAATTTATCATTAAATATTGGAAATATCAAACTTCAATATTTTAACAGGATCGCGATAATACATTAAAACCACGGTATAACCATGGAAGTATTATGGTATAACCAGGTACCGGTATACACTGTTGTCTACGTATACATTCTTGGTATTCTTCAATGGTATTACGAAACGACATCAATGATTTTGTTCAGTCTAGTGCAATAAACCTACTACAGCCTCAATATTAACTGCGATCCAACCGGCTCTATTCGTTGACCCCCAACAATTTAGGGATCCCCAGTTGGTCATTTCTGCACTTACCCCACCCTCAGTGGCACCCTTGACTACGGCCCTGCTAATCTGCTTGCTTTTACTGCTATTTTTCGGCTCACCGAGCTTTGTATAATCCAGGGGTGGCGCCAGTGGTGGGGGGGGGGGGGTGCCAGGCCCCTGGTATAGTCCCACAGTAATTTATTACACTCCTTCATCTTACTAAGTAAGCGCTAATATTGCAACATAATTTACGTTTCGCCGACTATTTATAAACATTTAGATTGATGTGAGTCGCTCCTTAAATTACAACATCGCATTACTTAATCAATTTGTTCTCAATTCTGAAACGCCAAATTCAGTTAGCTAAGATCCGATCCTAGTAACTCATTTTATTTAGATTTTACAATTTGATAAATTCTGTTAATGTTCATTACTCTGTTTCTTGTTACATTTTACAATTGTTCTAGAATTGTAGCTAGATCATTACATATTATTTTTAGTGTTATTGAACTTATGTTTTCTGTCACTTGTGATCACAGATATATATATATATATATATATATATATAGGCCTATGAAATATATTTTTTATATGCCTATAAGTTCTATATATCATTTATTTACTATACTGTAAATCATTGGAGCAATGGTTGATTATATAAGCCTATAGGCCTATATACATTATATATAGAGAAACACGTAATTTTCACTCTCTTTAATAAACATGCGTTTATTCAACGTCCTACGTGTTGGTCTAGGCCCTTGACGAGAAAAAAAGTCACGCTTCTATATTAAGCGCTTAAAACGGCGAAACAGAACTCCAAAAAGCTCTTTTGAAAAAAATAATAATAATGTCGCTATATACTATATAAACTCTAAGCCGTATTGCGGTGTGGGATACCGTGTGTATAAATAAAGATAGGCCCATTGTATTGATTTACGAGATTGTAATTTTGACCGTAGGTCATCGTCATTATGTACCGGTATGTAGGCCTATATTAATTTTATTTGGTATGTTATTCTATGTTAGCATATTGGTTCTTCAGTTATTAAGTTTATTTTAATACAAACAATATTGAATGTAACAATATTTTTCCCATGTGAACGAACATTAAACGAAAATCAAATGTCAGGTATTTTGTTTTCTTTCATTATCTAACAGATGGTAAAAATCATACGATTCTCTGAACTCATAATAATCAGAGTTAATTAACTGAAAACATACCGGTATACCTCCATGCTGAAACAACCTTAGTGTAATATCGCTATCAACTCATAATAAATAGTAGAGTTGCGTATCATACACTAGTGAAAATTATTATGCGAAGGTTAGGTTAATGCTTTAAATGTTTTGAATGCATTAATCTAACCTAAATATAATAACTTCCCCTAATGTACAGATAAGCACTTTACTGATTGCTTTATCAATCAATCGTCGTCTTTACACAGTACGGATACGATGAGTAAATACTTTATTGTGTTTGAAGAACTTGTTATGAGTTTAATATTTTGATAGACATTCATAAAAAAATAAACATTTCTTAAAGCATTTGAGGAACATAGTACTCACTTTTTGGGCGGTGCAGACAGGTAAAATCGTGTGATGATTTCATCTAGGCTAGTCTACGATCTATACGTAGGCCTCGGCGGCTTCCTGCCTACGCCTAAACTGTTTCTCAGTCTATAAAATAGGTCTAGAATATTCCTATTAAATTTTCAGTTTCTTTAGTTTATTTCATTGATTCAAGGAATTTTCATACAAAATATTGAATCAACCTTGTTTTAACCGTTTTCTGGTTTTACGAAAATCATTTTTTTACTTACCACTTGTCAACAAACGTTTTCACCTTTTGCACACGAACCGAAAAATGATCAATCAAGCCGTGTACTAATGACAAATTAGTGCACGGCTGGGAATGGGAAAATAACATTTCGAGTTACAGTAATGACGTCACGATTGACCCTGTCTCTTATACACATCTAGATGTGTATAAGAGACAGATTATATATAGAGAATATATATATATATATATATATATATATATATATAGGCTATATATATATATATATATATATATATATATATATATATAGGCTATATACACTAGCACATTCATACATTCATATAATATATAAATATATTGCGTTTATAGGCCTCTTAATAGGCCTATATATATACAGTATATATGTATGTATATGTATATATATATATATATATATATATATATCTATATATATATCTATATATTGCCTCTTTTGAATTGCAGGCGACACAACGTTTGCGTTTATTGGTAAACACGTGTTTCATTGGACAAGCGCGTTTTTGGCTTTGTTCTGATTGGTCAGATGTTAAGTTTGATTAACACTCCGGAAAGCTCATTGCATTCAAAAAGTTTATAAATTTTGAAGAACATATGTTGTAACCTGTATATTTGTGTACATTGCATAGCATAACACTTATTAAAACAAAATTATAATATTATGTATATTGAATTAATCTCTATAGGCCTACATTAAATTGTAACGGTACGGTACTGGATTTCAACTGGAGAGTGAGACATGCCGTCCACCTGTCCTCAGCCTATGTTTATCTTTGTCTAACTTTATGTCAACTTTTCTGGTCCTTGATGTATAGATTGTCTCCATAATTGCTTAAAGATAACAGAAAAGATTATATGAACTGTCGTAATGAACGATGAACGATAGTATGTTGTTATTAGTGTAAAGGCAGGCAATCGCTTCTCGTTCCTTTTAAAGGCCATCCATTACACAAAATAACTACGTAAGTCTACCTACTAATGACGTAACAATGTGTCTAGTCAGTTGAAGGGTATTTTTAACGATTCAATTGTGGAAAAAACTAAACTGTCAATGTTACAAACAAAATATTCAAATAAAGATTAAATACGCTAATGACTTAAATTATATAGTTACATCATTATACCAAACGTTTTATACTGTAGGCCTACATTACAGTGGACGAATAGGTCTAAAATACAAAGCATTTTAGTTGCTATTCGAATGGATAGATCACATTATTGATTGATGATACTCGTGTGCTGTATTGCTTTACGTTCAGCGGGACATAATTCAACTTGGTTGACCCTGACTTGTTATTATATGATTTCATATTAACAATGGCACGAGTACAGCTAGGGGCTCGAAGGCGAGCGATGTGAACACGCAAGTGACTTAGCATGGGCCAAGGGGCGCCAAGGGCCCCGGTCGGAATTATGTAGTGACTAAAGACTAATTTTAATAATTTTCTATGTAGGCCTGATCATAAACACCTCGGGTGTGTAAGGCACGCGTCGGCCATGGCAGGATAGAGTTCTAGATGTTCCTTTTCAACAGCCATTATATCAACAGTCAAAGAGTATCGGGGTACTGTACAATATGACGTCATTTCGTAAGAGAGCTTTTCAGAAAGCCAGTTAGTACCCTCCTCAACTTTGTTAAGGCATCTATCTTTGTAAACATATTTTTCAATCTCATTAACCTAACTAAAATGTAGATCACTGCGTTTTATTTGTTTTAGACGACGCTTTTGAGTGCTTTACGTGTAAAGCAAATTCGTCAGAAGAATGTCAACTGGAAGGCAAACCACAATTTTGTGACAAAGGAACTAATAGATGTTTTACAGAGACCCGTTACCATGGTAAATACATTTTGTTTTTTAAAATTTTTATTGTTTCTTAAACTGTATTCACAACAGATCCGAACCGAAATTCGGACCGCGTTTCCGATAAGCTGAACGCCAGCGCCCTTATCCTTACACACTGATTAGATTTTCTAATCGGTTCAGTAGCTTTCCTATCCGAAATTTCGGATTCGGTGTGAATGCCCTTTTACTCACTGACAAAAGTAGGGATTAGGCCTTACTATACTACTTACAAAATATACATGATAATATTAATATTGATGTTATTCCGATGTTGTTTGCGTCAGGAATTATGTTTGCTACACCTGACTTGGTATCATACCGAATGCTTAGTATGTTCCCAAATACTTGCGAATAAAAATTTATATTGATTTTATTTATGTAGCACGTATACCATACCTTCCTTTTTAGATACAAAGCCATTTTACTGGTCATTGGATACAGAATACAGTAAATTAATTTAATTTAATTTATTTATTCGACCACTAAAATCCACATACGAAAAATAGGCCTAAATAAAAATTTTAAGAAAAACGTATGTTCCCCCCTCCCCCTTTTCCGGGATTCCAACCCAAAGCCGTCCGATCATCCTGTTCTGAGCTATAAGGCCAAGCAGTACACCCTTTGGTTTTAAAATTAGGATAAGGTATTGCGTAATACACAATTAATAATAGTAACTCACACAATAAGATAATAAGATAAGATATAAACAATAAATAATAATTATAATTCAAGTCAGGGGCACCAAAATTAAAGAAGAGTCCAAAAACACAATCGGAGGAAGTTAATGTAAAGCCTCCCCCACTCCCTATATGCAGTGGCGTATCTAGGAGACTTGAAATGGGGGAGCTGGTGGGGGAGCGAGAAGGTCATACGGGGGGTGGGGGTCCATAATTAGGTAAGGGGCTGTAAATCGCAAAATAAGGTAATTTTAGGTGATTTTCATCTACGTCAGTGTCATTTTTGGTGGGGAGACTGGTGGGGAGAGGCGAGTATTTTTTGGATTAGTGTGCGCCCCCTCCCCCACGTACCCCCTATTTACGCCACTGTCAAATTCATTTAGAGCACTTTCAGTTTCATGCCAAATAATACACCTCTCACCATGGTACCCAACTCTTGGATGGAGAGCGGCATCTATAGAAAAAGTATTTTGCCCAAGGACACAATTAAGATTTGTGAGAAGGTGGTGCCAGTAGTGGGGGAGGCGAGCCGTTGTGGGGAGATCCGCCAACCTCGTCGGGCAGCTCTATAATTCGTGTTGAGAAAAATATATGACAGGAATCCTCTGCTCCTCCCCCCTCCCCACCCCACCCTTCTTACGCTCTCGTGAAGTGGAGTTAATAGCTTTATGGTTAAGATGCTTGCCCTTTCAATCCCAGTGCCATGGGATCAATTCCTGTCACTGTTGCAGGATGTCTTTCTCATGAACAACTGCAGCTTGTGTAAACTTGTGTAAAGCATCTTGAGTAGCCAGCTATGTTTGTCTTGTGAAAGGGTTGTCACCTACGTGTGTAAGACAGCGATATATTCGCTACTGGCAATCATTATTCCCCATGTCTAGGACATCGGCCCTCCGTCGGAAAATACCGTCCATTAGGACCTGTGCAGCGGGGTCATTCTGATAGCGAATTGGGCAATATACCTGGAGCTAAAGTAATTCCCTGCATTTTCCAATGAGTGGACGTGCTTTAATGTACATGGGGAATTACACACGTGACCATTGTCTTAAAGTCTCTTCAGCAAAAGGTTCACTATTGTATCTTAGCCCTCCAGCTGAAACTCAAGCATGGCAGAGGCGATAAGTGTAAGGAGAGTCAGGTGCCGATGGCGGTAACTTTAGCTCTACAACAAGCATGCAAGATCATCGAATTCCTTAAAGCGATATTGAGCCATGGTAAATTTTAAATTACTGACGACCATTAGAGTTTGAGGTTGTAAGAGTGGTTTACATTGGTTCCAATTCGTTTTCAAACCGAATTTTAATAGATAGTAACGTTGGGGTTTGTTTTTCTGTTCCTCTAAAATATCATGATTTTGTTAATTGTTTGCTGATGGCAGTTTATATTAATATTTTTTGTATTGTATTTCATATTAATTGCATTGAGCGCTATATAATAATGTTCAATGTAATATTTTGTTATAGGCCTATACAGTATAGTATATTTTATAATATTTACCTGTAAATTCTAGTACGAGCATTCATTTTTCGTACTGGAGCAAATACTTTTTTAATCTTACCTATATTTTCTTATACATCTTTATCTTCTCTTGCATTTTCCTGTCATGTCTTGTCTTATCTTTTTTTAATCTAGTTTCTAGTTCATTATTCAAACTAGAATTTTTCCCTTAAATGCAGTTTGAACTAGGAAAGAGGAACGCGGTTAATATAAGTAAAGTTATGACTGTTCCTCTATCCAGTTTGAAAAAGAACTACAAATTATGTACGGACAGTAAGCCTACACTGCATTGATTTTAAAATCATCTTTCTTACACTCTTTTTTAAATTATTCCTTTACAGGCGGCACGTACAAAATTAAAAAGATAGTAAAAAATTGCATTCTCGAACCTTCCTGTTACCGAAAGAATAGAAAAGAACAAACCAATTGCGAACAGAAGGAAAAGGATTTCGATTGCTTTGAATGCTGTGACAAAGAACTTTGTAACAAAGATGCTGGAACGGCGCAACTATTGTCCAGTCATATCATCACGCTGGCCATGCTATTTTTCGCTATTCTCTTTCCTTTACATGTAGTGCGGTGAACTCAGGAATCGAATCAAACAACATTTATACACTTAGGCCTATTATTGTTTTAAACGTTTCCTAGAGAGACAATCTACATTGTTTCGGACGTCGAATGATTCGACCATGTATCTACAGGCGATTTCATCAAAAGAATAATATTGATCGCTATAAATGCAAATAATTTAATTCATACTTTTTGATTTCGCAATACGTTTGGTCATGTACCTTCCGTTGAATACAATCTGGCAAGACGACGTGCCAAGTTCGAGATCACGTAGAGAAGCGCAGGCGCATACTCATGCATGTCTTTATAAGGGAAAAGTTGTCATTTGCTCCCATTATGACAGAGCAATAGAAACGCAATGAACTGAAATGAATGGCGAGCGCTTCAATCTAAGTTGTAAATATACAAATATGTATCCCTTTGTTTAAAAGTTTATGATGTCTTTTCTCATTTAGGTGCACCGTTTGACATTTTCAATCATTGTATAAACAGTGATAAACCACAAATAAAATATAAAATAGAAATGCTGTTTCGAGTGCCATTAGGCCTATGCAAATTATAATGTATTCGATGTGAATATATTTAAGATAAGTTTCCATAAAATAATATTGTATGCTTTGAAATGTCTAACTTATTAGCGAGTGTCTATCTAAAAATTAATGTACGATAATCCATAAGAAAGTTCCTCTAAAAAAAACCCTATAAATTCCACACTAGTATTATATTATTTTGATCTATCACTGATCAAATATTATATCGTGGCCAAAAGGCAAATTTCATGTCATTTACAATAGAATTATATCCTCCTTTAGGACTACTTTATATAAGGCCTATTGACTATTTTATATAAGGCCTATTGACTATTTTATATAAGGCCTATTGACTACTTTATATAAGGCCTATTTGATTTTCTGATTTGTTTCATTCTCATTGAGTAACTTGCCGCAATACCACTTCGGCACGTATTTCAAATCTAGGTCTAGTTCTGTGATGGTCTATATACTCACAATGCTCTGTCCTTCAACTTATGTTAAAGTGTTCTAAGACAGGTATCTGTGAAATTCTCTTGTACTTCATTAAACGCATCAGGTTAAGTCATAGCCAGCTAACTACACTTAGTAACGTTACAGTTTGGTGTTCAAAACGTTATGTTGTAGAAGTCCAAATACGTATTTATAACGTAATTTCAGACCTCCCAAGTTCCCAGAAATTTGTGGGTTTCCCAGATTTTTAAGGATCAAATCGCTGCTTCCCAGAATTTTTACAGTTATCCCAGAAAATATAAAATTCTCATTGTGAATATTAAAATGGCTCCTATGTGTATATTTTAAAAAATCAAACAACAGTTTTTTTTTTAATATTTTGTTACTTAACTATTTAAACAACTCTATGCCTTTGCATCACCATCTAAGTTTAATAAAACCTGAAAATGACTTATTTTGCTTATTGTTTCCCACTTACAAAAACCACTGTTTCTGTTTAATATGTGTATGGCTTTTGGTAACGGCATGAAACACGTTGAATTAACATAAATCATATGTTAATCAATAAACCAAAAACAGTACCCAGAAATTACACTAAACGACAAATTACCCAGAAATTTCACTCCACCAATTTGGGACCTTCGTAATTTCCAACTAAATAACGTTGTTAACGCTACTGCAACGTTGTGCTAACGTCATTTTTTTACAAACAACCTGACTCTCACAACGTTCGCGAACGTTACGGTATGTAATAACGTTTTGTGTTCGTCACATAAAACTTAAGCCTGGTTTAAAAGTCGCTACACGTCACTACAGTGTTTCCACTGCTGCGTCGCTACCACTAATCTCTACTATAATAGGTGGATTGCTCATTGGCTGGTTTTAGTGAGGCGACCGACACCATGTTGGGGGACCTAAGTGTTAGACAAGTTTCTTTTGGCATTTATTTAAATTATTGTTAAAAATAACGATTCTTGCAATAATAAATTTGAATTTAACGTAATGATTATTATCATCTATCTACTTGATGTGACTTTTTATGCAGTCAAGTTATTTGCGTTGTTAGGATCGACGTCACTATAACAACGCGACTTCGCTCGTGCTTTTGAAAACTGCATAAAAAATCCTACGTTAAATTTAAATTTATTATTGAAAGTGTTAGGCACTTAGGCCCTCCAACATGGCGTCGGAGCCTCACCTTTTTTTTCTGTATCAGGATTGGCCGATGGACAATCCAGCTATTATAGTAGAGGTCAGTGGTCGCTACACATTTTGTAACTGATCCCCGACGCAATTGGGATGGCTCCCCGATTCCAGCTCCACCGTCAGTTGTCAGTGAGTGTAGCGATTGCATGGAAACCAGGCTTTAACTGTGTGAACAGAGCATTAAAGCCTGTTTACACTATGATGATAACGATCAACGATAGAAAGAAAAAAGCAATTGTTCATATATATAGAAAATAAAAGAAATAAGAGAAGTTTTCACACTAGTAAGATTCGATAACGATTTATCGTGTATACAAAAACAATTATTTGACAAATCAAATCAAATGACGTCATAATCATGGGAAAACGATAAATTCATAGTTGTAAAAACGATTTTATCATTTTCCCATGATTATGACCTCATTTGATTTGATTTGTGAAATTATTTTTAGAGTGAAGTTATTTTTAGTCCGGAGGCTGATATTTGCTGATAGTTATCAACCAAAATATCATAGGCCGACGTTTTGGTTGTAAAATTAGCATATACTGTACCATTAATCTCAGCTCTACTTAATTACATTGTACATAATAATATTGACATACGAAGATACAAGGCACAATTAATGAGGTCAATAGAAACAATTAAATAATAAATCAATTATTCCGAAATGATGCACTTTTGGAGAGATCATATGAAGACAATTAATTACTACGTAAGAAACATTTATTAATATTTAAAGTTTCTCTCAGGTCTCATTATACATAGCATGCAGACGGTCAGAGTGTAGGATAGGTCTAAGTTATCTTAATCGATCAAAATAAGGTTTTAAGTAGGTCATACGGTACGATGTACATTATTATGCGCTCGGTTTCACCAAAGCGCAATATTTCAAACTGGTTTTACGTTACAAACTGTCTCACCAGCAGTATAGATTTTTCTCAGCTAATTAAATCTCGTTCTGTTAGAATGTATTTGTATGTATATTTTACGATTTTGAGACTCTCTATTTTGTTGCAAATTCCTTGCGCGCACTTAAGGACAACACGATATCCTGTTAATTACTCATCGTTGATATTCTACGGTCATCTTGCAGTTTAACGACCCCGAACGTGACAACAAATATGAAATTCAGACAATAAAATGCACCGACAAAGATAATCATCCAAATAAAAAAAATGTTCTTTTAATTTACGGAATTTTTTCAACAACAAAACAAAAACAAAAAAAACAAACAAAAGTACTGTATATTAAATTATTAAAAAATATAAACGTGCTATTGCTGGGCCTCTAGAGGAGCATTTTTTTTCAAAATTTTCCCATCTCATCCTCAACCACGCAAAGCATGGGTATGGTAGGCCTATCTAGTCGCCTACTAACTTTAAATCATTTCTAAGTTTTTTCTGTTTAAAGTAAAGGTGGTTATACCTACTACTATTACGTTTAACGTTAAATTAAAATAGGGTACTTCCACAGAGTTAGAATGATATTTACAAGAGAAAAAATTATTTTAAAAAATGAAATGAGAATGTTATAAATAAGGAATGACTAATGTTTTACTGTTCTTTTTCCTTTTGCTTTGAACGTCTTTGTCATGTTTTTTGAAGATGAATAAAATGGAGATGGAGGGGTATTAGCTGCATATATAGGTTGCCCGATGCTATTTCCAGGCATCTAGGTTTTTTTTGTTTTTTTTTTGATTTTTTTTTTTTCAAAATTTGCTCACCTCAGCCCCAACCATGGTGGGTCTCAGGCGCGCATGAATCAGGAATGGCGCCATTGGGCCCGGGCAAAGGCCCCCGTCGGGAAGAAAAACACGAGACAGAAAATTAAGTATTTTTTAAATATTAGTATGGCTCTAAAATCGATTCAATAAGCCTATGAAGCACCTAAATTGTCATAGTTGGGGTGCCTACCACCCTCCAGAAATTGAAACAAAAATTAAAGGATGCTGATTGGCACGAATGCTACAGTTTTAGGTGATGTTACATTCGTAAAAATACACACTAGCAGGACACGTCTTTGCCAGGAATTACAATAAATACTAACTCCAACGCGCATAATGGTGACGATTATCTAAAGCCTATATCCAAGTGACCAATAGGCCTACCAGTTTTTTTTTATTGAATTGTATAAATTGGCAAAATTGTGAATTGGTTAAATTATGCATTTTATTTTGTATCGATTTGTATTTTACTGATAAAAATACACAAATAAATATAAATGATAAAATATGTTAATAAAATAAATAGAAATTATATTAATACAATAAATAATATTTGACTCGACTCGACTTAGGCTTATAGTTTTCTTTAATATTATTTTAGGGTAATAATAATATTGATGATTACCAGTGGTTCTGGTCATTTGATGATGTCACCACTCCTACCCATCAATCGAATGATGTTTCAAGCTCAACTGTATAATACAATAGTAATACTTAATTCGTATTTGTTGAACCAATTTGTCAAATATAAACAATTTTAAAAAGGTTCTATTTCCTGACATCCAGGTACAACATTTTTTTACCTCAGCGAAGTAATTGTTATGGACATTTTTAGTCACACTTCTTCTGTAGGATCTTTCTGGAGTGTCAAACTTCACAACTGGTACGGAAACAAGGCCAAGAATACAATACGCGTTTGTCCAACTCACGCGCGTATAAATATGCTGTCGTTTTGTGGGGACCTTAGCCATAACAATATTCAAGAGTTAGGGATTAGCCAGGAATTAGCGGAATAATCCATATCTCTTCGCTCGGATGGGGGGTGGGGAGGTGGTAGAGCTGTTGTTCAGTATTATTTTATAGTCATTTGTAAATATAATATTACATTGATAAACTTTGTAAAGGTCGGCTCTGAAAATGTAGTAGTAAAATGTAAACAATATATAAAATACATATAATATAACGCATGTAAAACCACCGCCTACCGGACACCATCCCAGTATTTATGAGTTCACATTCTATTGTTTTCCCCTGTTAATACTCAAATCGGTAAGAATAAATTTAAGGGCACACTTTCTCCAAAAAAGACTTTATATTTCGAAGTCGGAACACAACAGTGTCGGCGCAACAAGGGGTCCCAAGTTGGAGGTCGATTCCGGGAGATCTGCAATGGTGGATCATAGAGTTCGAAATAGGGGGAACAGGGAGGTGGCACAGATGGATGGTGTTGGCTAAAGTAAAAAAAATATAATTATGGTATCTCTAGATGGCCGAAAATGGCATCCTCATATTTAGATTTTAATATAATTTTCTTCATTTTTTCTTTTTTTATATTTTGAACAATTTAGGGGGCCAGGCCAGCTTTCCTCCTTAAATCCGCCACTGTTGCTTAATGAGCTTTGTTAAACACATTTAATTTAATTTTGCTGCTGCACATAGTGATACCTATCGGCACTGACTTCCATGAGAACTGACAATAAAGTAGTGAAAACATGTAAATATTATGAATTTGCGGAGATCATTTTCCAAAAGATTTTTGCTTGCTTGCGGGAGGCTGTCCCGATTTCCGAGAGACTCCCACGAGTTCCAGGAGGCTTGAGACCCCTGCGCCATCAGCAGAGGTGGGTGGTCTGGGGAAACAGGGTCCTGGACTTCCCTTCGGGATATTTCGTAGCTACTTTTATAGTCTCAGGGTGAAATTTTCTGGCATTTAGAGGTTGCCGAGGCTGAGGTATTAGTATGGATCCCCTCTAGAAATTTGGATCTTCATCGGGAAATCTATGGCGCATTTACTGTCCGAGTGGGGCTGGGAGAGGGACTGGTGGTGATGTTTTCGTCCACAGTGGCTAAATAAATTCGCTAATTAGGCATTGGCGGATCTGAGGGGGATCCCTGGGTCAGGAACCCCCCTCCGGGCAAAAAAAAGTTCTAGACCTACATTTTCAGGACCCGTGAGCTGGATTTTTTTTTCTTGTTACAATGGGAAAATTAGAAGGCGGGAAAGGTAATTTCCTGCCATCTAGGAATCAAAATGTTCCCAGGGAAGGACCCCCGACTCAATTTCTTTTCGGGGTTCATCGTTTCATGGAGAAAAGAATAGGCCTACGTAGTTATACCGGTGCACATATAATAGGCCTATGAGAATGAGAAAAATTTACCAGACCGTTTTCAAGAGGGGGAAAACCTTGAATTTTGAAGAACTTAAAAGTCATTAATAAATGGACACCTCAGAAGTCGGGAAAGCTCATTTCCCGCCATCTAGAAATCGAAATTTTCCCGGGGAGAACCCGGATCCCCCTTTCTCTTCGAGGTTTCTCAAATTCATGGAATCGTTTTGAAGAGGGGGAAAACCTTGAATTTGAAGAACTTAAAAGTCATTAAAAGACACTTCAGAAGTCGGGAAAGCTCATTTTCCGCCATCTAGAAATAACAATTTTCCCTGGAGGACCCGGACCCCCTTTCTCTTTGGGTTCATCGATTAATAGAAACGTTTTCAAGAGGGGGAAAATCATGAATTTTGAAGTACTTAAAAGTCATTAATAGACACCTCAAAAGTCGGGAAAGCTCATTTCCCGCCATCTAAGAATCGAAATTTTCCTGGGGAGAACCCGGACCTCCCTTACTCTTTGCGGTTCCTCGATTCATGGAATGGTTTTCAAGAGTGGGAAAACCTTGAATTTTGAAGAACTTAAAAGTCATTAAAAGAAATTTCAGAAATCGGGAAAGCTCATTTCCCGCCATCTAGGAACCAAAATTTTCCCGGGGGAGGACCCCGGACCCCGGACCCCGGACGCCCCTTTCTTTTTGGCGTTTTTTTTGGAAACATTTTAACCCCCTAAATTTGAACCCAGATCCTCCTCTGTTAGGAGTGGACGCTGAACTATTAATTTTTTAGGTTAGTGGCCTTGTAGGACAATACAATCCTTGGCAGAAATTTTCTTTCAGATACCGGTTTGGTTGCACACCTGTCTGATAATATCCAAATTACGGTGAAAGCAAGCTTGCATGTGAAATACTGTATATTGTAGCCAAAAACATCTTTTAAAATATTGAATTTTCGGAATGGTGTTTCTTCTAAGTTTGGAGAATGTACATAATAGGTAAGTAAGCTTTTACTACGCTGTTTGTAGTTAGATTTAATTGTGGCATCCATTGTTGTGTTGTTGTTCAGGCCTACATTGTTCAGATCAGAGACTGTGCTCTAAAGTCGGTTTGTTCAGAGTTATTTTCATTCTTTGTGGACTGTTTTACACCATAGCAAATCTCAAAATTTGGCCATAAAACAATGGCATTAAACCGGAATATCTGAGTGAAAATATAAACAACAGTGTACAGTAAAACTTTAAGATTTGTTGTGTAATGACATACCATACAGTTTTGGTGGTAGGCATGCTTTGCAACCCACACTCAACATGTAAATCTAAGTACTCTTTAAAATGCAGTAAAATCATTTTAATTAATTTAACAAAGTATAATATTACTTATATAGTGACTTTAAAACAATCCATGTGTCACAAAATGATCTTTAATATAGGCCTATAACAATCGCATAAAATATACAAATTTATGAAAGTAGAATTCAGCATAAAGCGTTATAGGCCATGGGCTGGAGGTGGGGGGTCACCGTGCACCCCCTCCCACCCACAGTTAAATTTCTTTGGTATCATTTTGTTCCTACTTGCATATAGAACAAAAAAATTGATGTTAACAAGAAAAATATAGAGATGCATTGTTTGTAGTCGCGTCATTTGTAATGGTTTTTTAGTGTTTTATGCTCAATACCTTGTTTGGGGGTAGGGATAACATTTATGCCCATAACCTGTGAATTGAAAATCCCATCAAGATTATTTTGGTAGCAATGTGTAGCATATATGTTTTTTAATCAAATGCAGTTTAAATAAAATTAATCCTACAATTATTAATGTCACTAGAGGTCTAAAGGTCATCGACTTTTTCTAAAATGCAAATTTTTTCATAAAATATCAATAAAGTTCAGTGTCATATGTCTAATTTTAGATGTATTTGATACAAATTGTGTTTTTCTTGTAGTTATTGACATATGGAATACAAAAATTGAGGTTAACAAGAAAAAAAATTAAAATGCATTATGTACTATTGTCAATGTTTATGATCCGAGAAATTTGTAATCAACAACAGTTTTTGGGGTAGGGGGTAACTTTTATGCTCATAACTCTTGATTTAGTCAATGGACATGACATTAATTAATAAAGTGTAATAATATTTATATAGTGACTTAAAAACGATCTGTAGGTCTTAAAATGCGCTTTAATTTAAATAGGCCTACAGCAATTGCATAAATATACAAATTCATGAAAGAATGTAGCATAAAGTCTTCAGAATGTCGTTAATGGTCTCAAAATATTGTATATATATATATATAAATATTTTTATATATACAAAATACTTGTATATATATGTATATGTATATATATATAAATATTTATGTGTACATATATGTAAATGTATATATATAATATGTAATATGTATTATATATAATATATATATATATATGTAATATGTAATGGCCCCAATGGAAATAAGTTTATATATTGTAAAAAAAAAACTTTTTTGGGTTACCCTAGGAATTAATGTCTTACTCTTTGTTCTTAATCACTTATCTATTCTTCCTTTCTTTTTTGTATTCACGTAATTTGTGATTTTAATTCCTGAATAAAATTAAATGAAAAATTGCGAGCACGTATGTTCCCAGTAAAATAAATAATAATAGACATTGATAAAATCAAATGACACGGTTGACGTATTGGAGGAACATAAGTATTTTTTCGTTGAGAAAGTTCTCATACAT